TTATTAACACGTGTGGTACAACTCTATAAAGCAAGTGAAACATAGCTGTTTGCCGCACCAGCTGCACTTGACGAATGCCAAGGAAGAGCAGCTGCCGATCCCTTGGCAACCGCCGACAATTTCACCTCCGTTGAAACCGTAATCAGCCGGCGTCGAAAAAGCTCCTGGATGGTCGTCGACGTATCCTGCAGCCACCCAGGCGTACGCTATGTGCTCGCGATTTAGGCGAACAGCCAGGTGTCGAACTATGGCGTACGACAGCGGGAGTCCTATAAAACATGTCGTTTGGCGCACTTTATCAATGTTTACATTACTTCCTAGCTCGGGGATTCAAAGTGAAACCTTGTTCGGCGGCTTCCAGTACTTGAAGAAGAGCGGAGAGGCGTTTAAAATTAAGCACTCTTGATTCTTCAACCATTCCTGGGTGAAAAAAGGAAGTTTACAGAATTCAACCTAATCACTTGCGAATTTTTTTGTGTTTGCTTTTGAATACCTCTTTTTTCGATCTCGCGGAGCAAATACATGTGCCGTTCAGTTTTGATCCACTTGAACCGGTTGTTCATGGAAGCTAAAGAACGTGTTCCCTTGTCAGCCTCGCGGTAGTGAGCAATGGTAGCAAGCAACTCCTATAAAAGTAACCTGAAGCGTCTCTTCTTCCTCGTCGTAGTCTGCGCCCTTAAGTATTCCTCTGAAGGCGTCGGCAATTGCGATTTCTTTTCTTGTAGGAGGAGAAAAATCGGGCGTGAACGACGATAGAAGGCGGCCAATAACTCTAGCAGGTGAGAAAGCCATGTCGAGATCAGAAATGGTACACACCACATATTCTTCAGATGTGACTGTAGGTTGCGGTACATCATCACTCGCACAAGCATGTACGAGCGTGAGTATTTCCGTCGACGACCATCCCGGAGCTTCCGGTAGCTGCTCTTCCTTGGCATTCGTCAAGTGCAGCTGGTGCGGCAAACAGCTATGTTTCACTTGCTTTATAGAGTTGTACCACACGTGTTAATAATCTGTTTGCAATAAATGGAAAATTTTACACATCGAGCAAATCCTAAATGATCCCGTGGTCTGCTCTGCGAGGGTTGTCCACGCTGATCACAAATACGAATAGTTGCTGGTGTCATTTATTCTCATTCTAGAGATACAATTTTCTAGCCAGTTTTCAGTGAAAACCTAGCGCACGGGGTCATTGCTGCTCCTGGTCACGACAATGACCAGTCAGACACTCATTTTGGCACTGGTGCAGTTTGGAGCCAAGATGGAGGTGCCAGCATAAAATGCAAAAAATTTCGCGCGCGGAGGATCCGAACCACCAACCCAGTCCACTCGTGCCAACTCCAGTCCACAGCACTATCCGCTAAGCCATCCGTCGCTGCCGACATCCAAGCTGCAGATAGCTGTTATGAATCTCCCGCACACTCCGTAGCATGTAGCATGACAAGGATCCATTTTTGGCTAAACCTCACGTTATTTTCGATGCACAGTTCACTACGACCTTTTACTATGCCTATAGTTGACGCCATGAATGAAACACACCACGTTTAACAAGTAAAAACTGCAGTTTCCAACAAAATGATTTTCACTCCTTTTTTGGCATTCAGAAGGCCATTTAGCGGAAATGGACCATAGATCTGTGTTCACTGCACCTGCCCCTATTTCATGCAAAAAACCGTTTTCAAAAAGCGCTCCACGCCCTGAACGACCTCCCCTCGTTAGTCGCCTGATGTTCTTGTATCCCACGCCATCAACTTACAAACAACGGCAGTCGTTTCCAGATGAACCGACAAACCTCACTAAAGAAAAAGTCAAGGTTAAACAACACCCAACAGTTAATCTACTAGTAAATCTGGTAGTCGCCAAAACGTCATAGTAGATCCTCCGCCTCTTCAGTCAACTCCATTTTCTCTTTTACAAACACATGGGGCAACTGCCTTCTTTCCAAAAAAAAAGCCTTTGCTCAGAAGCAATTCGAGCTACCATCTTCATTTATATTTTTCAAATTCATTTTCATTCAAAAATGGAGAATTTCATTTGGAACGGCGACCACTTTTCACACTTGCCCGCCCACTGTTGTGTGTCCATAAGAGTGAGCTTGCGCGCAAATAGTCTGATCTCACTTGCCGCGTCTAAGCGACTAGAGGCGGGTAAGATTAACAGCTAGCTTTGCCGAAATCGAACAAATCTTACTAAGCTGGAACAAAATGCAGATCATCCAAGTCGTTTCAGGTCCTCGACCAAAACTGTCCAGTCATCATGGACTTAACAAACGATTCGTTTTATTTTTGTGCTTTATTTAGGAGCAGGCTTTATTATATGTAATCTATTTGTGATTGTATTAGCTCAATCGGTTTTGCTTTCAGTTTGGCCCATGTGGCAGTTGCCTTCTTGAACCTCTTTTCCTCACTTTTCATCTTTCTGTTCATCCCTCTTCGTGTGTGTGTGTGTGCCTTAATTCTGCTCTACGATTCTTTTCATGTTGCCCATACAGAGATAAAAACTCGTCGAAAATAAATAAATAGATAAATAAATATAAATTTTATTGGAACAATAATTAGAACAAATTGTCATATCACACATCATAACACCAGATTAAAATCAGTATCTAAGATGAAAGGTGATGAGTTAAAAAAATCATTTCCAAGTATGAGAAGCAACCGCGTAAGCGTGCGCGGCGTTCTGGATGCGGTCTCGACTTATTGATTCATATGGACCAGGCTGCAACGCGACCGCATGCGTTTGGGCTGGACAATCACTACGACCGCATGCGTTTGGGCTGGACAATCACTACGACCGCATGCGTTTGGGCTGGACAATCACTAATTGACTGACATGTGGAATTAGAAACACCGTAGAAGCTAATGAGACCGCCCATAGTAAAAAAAGAAGAATCACCGCAAAATCCCGAACGAAGATTGACCTCGACTTCTAGTAAGATATGGATGAAATGCACTAATGAGAAATACCATCTGAAATTTTTTCCCTGATTCACGGAATCGAAGTCTTTCTAGAAAGCCTTTCCTGCACCACCTTCATAGAAACGACTCACTTTTCGCCGTTCCCCCAGAAAATCACAAACAATGCAAAGAATTGACATATTATATTCAGGTCGTAAATGGTTGGTAAGAAAATTTAGATTTTCAGTTTTTCGCATTTTCTTCGCGCTCTTCTTCATCAGCTCACACAGCTAAACTTCAAGCTGATCCATGTTTGAGAGTTTTTGACCCTTAAAACCAGAGCTACTAATCAATTTCAGAACAATGCTTTCAAGTCGAAAATCACACTGACTATTTTAGCAAAATTCCGTCCTTCCCATCTAATATTTTATCACGGCGAGGGAATACGAGCCAAGACAAGGAAAAACCTGGACCAATTAGGAGCTCGCGACAGCACCCAACTCATTCATAATCCGAATACTAGAACACAACCCTGATAAGTTTTTTTAATATCATAAATCATGAAATTAGCATTAATTTGCACATTAAAGTCTATAACATCACACAGCACTGATAACATAACCCCTAAAAATTCACAAAGAACTCTCCGTACCCTACGAATAGATTTTTTTTTGTTTTCAGCTTCGAATAAATAATTATCACAAAAAGCATACTAACGTAATCTGCTATCGCTAGCAGCACCAGCCCTCCTTCGGTCAATTCATTAGGCTTCGCTGGCCTTCAGTACCAGACGTTCTTGTTCCTGAAGACAAGAAATACCACATCCATTGTACTGATATGAAACTACGCTCAATAATGCTTCTTTGGACAAAATCAATAAAATCCGCACGTCGAGGGGACCTAAGGTATGCTTCCCCGAACAGGAGAGGACCCCATCCTAGTAAGGTATGCTCCTCCCGGAAAGTCTCGGGAAAGGCTACCGGTTTTCGGATATATCTCCCCAAGACATGCAATGGGGAGATATCCCGTGATTGGCGTGCAATCGGGGAGATATCCCCAAGAACCGACGGCATGGCCTTTCCCCGAGAGCTTTCGGCTTACCAGGATGAGTCCCCTACTGTTCGGCGAAGCATACCTCACACCCCTAGTCCTACAGCAAATTTGTGACCGTGAGCGTTTGGGATTTAGTGGTAGATTTGAAAAAAGGAACCATTTCCCAAGTAAGGAAATCCAGGGCATTCGAACCCACCTTCGCCTGTCGCTCTACTTCACTCTGTACATGCATAGGTTTGCTCTGCTGCAGTTTGTGTAGCAAGGTTAGGAATATCGATTCCACATGATCTGCTTCAGAATCTGCTTTTGCTGACGTTTCAAATAGTGCCATATTGTTACGGTCAGCAAACACCTAAAGAATATTACTGAAGTTATGGGAGAGAAAAAAAAACAAGAAACACTCCCAGATATTGGGGAAAGCTAGCAAAACATTAGTTGTTTCACTTGATATGGAACGAGTGAGCATCCCTACTTCGAGGAGACAGCAAACCTAAGTAAAAGCAAACAACCGGGAAACAATGTAGGGTTTTGAATCTCACCTGAGCAGCATCCGTATCAACACGCGACGATTTCGACGATTTTAGGTCGCATTTATTTCCAATAAGAATTCGTGGCACATCACAATCAGCTGTGAGCCCGTTCTTTTCACACTCATTGATCCATGAGCGAAGTGAGGCGAAAGATGATGGGCTAGACAGAAACACGTCAAAATTTTTACAAATGGCAGTCATCTCAGAGCTGCGGGAAAATGAACTTGAGAAAAAAATCCAACGTAGTGAATTACCATGTCACATCGTATACAAAAACCACAGCATTGACGTTACGGTAATAGTGCGCTACTATAGAGTGCCTATACCGCTCTTGACCAGCCGTGTCCCATAATTGTACCTTAAACAACTGATTTCAGTTTCCGAAGAGGAGGCACAATCTTCACTTTTGTATAGTACGTCATGATCTTACCTTCAGTAATTCTCTTTCTATGACACAACTTCTTTCCCGGAAATCTACGCCTATAGTTGCTTCGGTATGCTCGGGAAATCTACCACAACAGAACCGGAACGACAGGCATGTTTTGCCCACGCCTGCATCGCCTACAATAATCACCTGAAAACCATATAGTTCGTAGAACGTCAAGACTTTTCAACTACAATAGGACAAAAGGTACGGAACGGAGTTATACCTTGAAAGTTCGTTTAGTATTGTAACATTTTGATGATGTTGGAGCCAACGGCAGCTTGTGATGTTTCTTATGATGCGAATCATGCGAATCCGGTTTTTGCGGCTCCTGCAGTTGAAAAAAAAACGTAAAATTGTAGGTTCAACCGATCGTCGATCGCAGCGTTAAGGTTCAAGCTGAAGCAAACTTTTCAAGTGCAAGAATCTTACCTTTGTGTCATTCACAGGCTTTGGTGTAATTGCAAAAGACTCTTGGACTGTGCTAGGTTTACTATCAATAGCATTCTGTGTGGAACCATGAGCTTCTATATGAGCCTGTACAGCTGGATACGGAACGGTCGCTTGCGAATACGCTGGCTGAATACAAACTCATGTATGTGGTATATAAACAACCCAAAAATAAAACGGCTTTTCAGAAACCTACCGGCTGAGCTGCAGTTGTCAAGGGATGCACTGGAGGCTTCGATACAAAGTCTGGCAAGGGTCGAGGAGGATCAATTGTCGTGGTAAATGTACTGAATTGAGGAGGTGGTATAGTCGGCACGCCAGTGTACGACGCTCCGTTCATCTGAATTGAAGGAACGGTTTCTATTTTGAATATGGTCTTAGTACAACACATGCACGTAGGATATCGCTTAGACTGGTATTAGAGTTATCCGTCGCGCGATTCGCGCGAATCGCAAAATCGCAAGTGCCCATTTGAACATTTGAAACACTGAATATGAAACAAGTAGAATCATGAACAGTCGTCATTCAACCATCACCATCAAGCAGAAATGGCGGCGGGATTGGAGAGCACCTCGCAGTATTGATCGGGCACTTGTGATTTCTGTGATCCATCGCGCGATTCGCACGACGGATCGCGGACTCTAACACCAGCCTTAGGTCGCTTTACGAAATGCAAAGAGCAGGGCACCTAGGAGATGCCCCATCATGATGAAACCAGAAGGCGTCAAACGTAACGGACATCATCCATTGTTAGGGGACCACAATCAAAACCCTTGAGACGGAGAGATTGGCTAGTAAAGACCGCCTTGAT